TAGAACGTCAGAGCTAAAAGGAACCTGTTAGAAACTGTTAGCTATGGAAGAGGCCTTAGGACCTAGCTAACATATTTAGAGCTGAAAGGAACCTGAGAGGTCATCTGCTTCAAGTACTTCATTTTAAAAATGAGGACACTGAGGCCTAAGTGTCTTGGTTTGCACAAGGCATATAGGTAGTAATTAACAGTCAGAATTTGAATCCAGATCCCCTGATTCTGGTCCTCTTTTTGCTACCCACACTACTTCCTGCCTTGGCATATCAGGGCTGGACGGGGCCTTAGAGCTGAGACTCTTGGTAACGGCAGGGCCTTAGACCTGGCATTCTATAATGCCACAGCTGGAAGGAGCTTTGAAATATGGAATAATCATAATAACATAGTATACCATGTTTTAAAGTTTGCAAAAGTGATTTTTTTTACAGCCATACGAGGGAGATGGAATAGGTAGGTGGCACAGTGATTAGAGCATCAGGCTTGAAGTCAGGAGAACCCATCTTCCTGAGTTCAAATCCAGCCCCAGACACTTACTAGCCATGTGACCTTGGGCAAATCACTTTATTCTGTTTGCCTCAGTTTCTTCATCTGTAAAATGAGCTGGAGAAGGAAATGGCAAACCAATAGTACTGTATCTCTTCCAAGAAAACTCCAAATAGGATCATGAAGAGTCAGACGTAAATCAACAACTGAATAACAAAAGGACGTAGGAGGGACCTTAGAACCCTTAAATGTTGGAGCAGAAAGAGATCTTAGAACAAGGAACATAGGATGTCAGAGCTGGAAGGGACCTCAGAGACCATCTAGGCCCTTCATCTTATGCAGAGAAGACTTGCCCAAAGTCAGACAGCATGGCAAGAACCAGACCTCAATTCTGAGTCCTCTTCAGCCTCAGCGGCTCCCTAATCATATTTGGTGAAGTCAGCAAAGTGAACTTCTGTGTAGCCCCCAGCCTTCCTCTTCAATGCCTCTAGAATCATAAGCTAAAAGACTGACATCTTTTGTTGTTGAGTCATTTTTTTTGTCTGTCCAACTCTTCATGACCCCATTTGGGGTTTTCTTGGCAAAGATACTGGAGTGGTTTGCCATTTCCTTCTCCAGCTCATTTTATACATGAGGAAACTGAGGCAAACAGGGTTAAGTGACTTGCCAAGGGTCATACATTGGTCGGGTAAGTGTCTCAGACCAGATTTGAACTAACAAAGAGGAGTCTTTCTGACTCCAGGCCCAAGGCTGTGTCCACTGGGCCACTTACAACATCTTAGAACTGTATAATTTTAGAATCTTAGGGTCTTGTAGGGTTATAGAATTGTTAGATCAGAGAACACTGGGCTCGTGAAATCTTGTGGAGTGTGAAGGAAGGGATCTCAGGGGGCTTCTAGTCTACTCTCCTGCCTTGTCCAGGAATCCCCTCTACAGCCTTCCTGACAGAGGGGTTATCCACCTGATGCTTGGATACCTCCACTGACAGGGAGCTCTGGACTTGGAAAAGTGAGTACTCCATGCACTCCCTCGTCATTCCTTAACTTTAATTGAGAGCCTGCTGTGTGCAATACAATTATATTTGAACTCCAAAGCTCACTTCCAATCACATTTCTGCTCCCTGGAAGGGCTGTGGGACCTCAGGAGCAGTGGTCTGAACACTCCCTGCCTAGCTGTTTTCATCTGCTCAGAGAGGAAAGCAGTTTGAGCTTGTTTCTTCTCTGACTCCCCAGGGAGGGTAGACCAGGTAGACTTTTTTCTTTTTTTTCCCCCCTCCCTCCCTCTTTCTTTTCTTCCTTTCCTCCTTTTCTCTTTCCTTTTTTCACTCTTTTCTTCTCTCCCTCCTTTCCCTTTCTCTTTCTTTTTCTCTCTCCTTCCTTCCTTCTTTCTTTTCTTTCTTCCTTCTTTCCCTCCCTTTCTTTCCATCTTTCCTTCCTCCCTCCCTTTCTCTCTCTATCCTTCCTTCCCTCCTTTCTTCCTTCCTTTCCTCCCTCTCTTTCTCTCTCTTTCTATCCTTCCTTCCTCCCTCCCTCCCTTCTTTCCTCCCTTCCTTCTTTCTTTTTTTCCTTCCTTCTTTCCCTCCCTTTCTTTCCTCCCTTTCCTTCCTCCCTTCCTTCCTTCCTTCCTTCCTTCCCTCCTTCCTTCCTTCCCTCTCTCTCTTTCTCTTTCTTTCTATCCTTCCTTCCTTCCTCTCTCCCTCCCTTCTTTCCTCCCTCACTTCCCCTCTTTCTTTCTTGACTGGATCTCCCTGTCTTGCCCACGCTGGAAGTGCAGTGGCCCCTCACAGGTCTGATTCTACTGATGATTGGTACAGAGGATGTGATGGGCTGCTCTCTTTTCAGTCTGGCTTGTTTAGACCCTCCTCAGGCATCCTGGGAGCTCACCATGTCACCACTGGACTTGATGCAGACACACAAAAAGCTCGGCCCACTGTAGCCAGAATTCTTGAGCTCAAGCGATCCTCCAGCCTCAGCCTCCCCAGCTACAGAGACTCCAGGTGCAATGGCCAGAAGCCAGATGATTCTCTAAGGGCAGGGTTCAGGCCTTTTCCCTCTCCTGCTGTTTAACTTGGCCGCAACATAGAGAACCAGGAGGAAATAGAATGATGCAGATTTGAGTCAATGTAAGGGCGGGACCCCCCAACTTCCTAACCATTTGAACTGTCCAAAAGCTGAATGGAGCTACTTTCCAGGTGAGTCACTGAAGGCTTCAAGCAGAGGCTGGTTAACTATTTGTCAAGGATGCTACAGAGGAAATTCCTGGCCAGGTACATGACAATCCAGTCCAATGCAAGCAACAAATAGTAAGCAACTACTCTGTCCCAGACACTGTGCTAAGTATTGAGGATTCAGAGAAAAAAAAGGAAAAACAATCCTTGCCCTCAAGAAGCTTACATTCTAAAGCTGGGGAGTGGGGTGGGAGACATCAAATAAATACAACTGGCAACTGGACTGAGCTTTGAGGGAAGCTAGGGATTCTAAGAGACTGCGATGAGGAGAAAGGGAATTCTAGGCATGGCGGCTAGTCTGTGCGAAAGCCTGGAGGTGGAATGGTCATGTCTGAGGAACAGCAAGCTGGCCAGTTTAGATGGACCATAGAATGTATAAAGGGGAATAACGTGTAACAAGGCCCAAGAAGGAAGGCTGGAGTCAGATTATGAAGGGCTTTAAATGCCAACCAGAGGTGCTTGTATTTTATGCTAAGGGCAATAGGAAGCCATTGGAGTTTCTTGAGCTAGGGAATAACAAAGTCAGAGCTGTGCTTTAGGAATGTCACTTTGGCAGCTATGTGGAAAATGGATTGAGGAGGGGTGAATTTTGAGGCAGAGAGTCCAATGAGGGGGCTAAGGTACTAGGTCAGATAAGAAGTAATGAGGGCTTGAACTAGCATGATTGTATGAGTGGAGAGAAGGGATGAAAGCCAGAGAAACTGGAGAAGTAGCTTTGGAAGCTGCAGAGATATGGGGGAAAGGGAAAGCGAAAAGTAGAGTATGATTTGTGGGCTGCAAACCTAGGCACTGGGAGGATGGGAGTGCCATTGACAGAAATAGGAATTTTAGGGAGTGTGGGTGGGGAACAATGAGTTCTATTAGACTTGACATGTCTTTGGGATACCCAGGGGGAAATGTGTAATGGACGGATGGTATGGGAGCTCAGGAGAAAGACCCAGGCTGGAGAGCTGTATCTGGGAGCTGTCCGCATAGAGATGATGACTGAACTCAGGGAGCTGATGAGATGGTCAAGAAGGAGGCTATAGAAAGGGAAGAGAAGAAGGTTGGAGGGGGAGGGGAGGAAACTGAGTAGGAGGAGAGCTAAGAGATCTGTGTCAGGGAGGAGGGTGTCTAGAAGTGGGTCAAGAAAGAGAAAAACCGAGGAAAGGCCACCAAACTGGGTGATGGATGGTAACTCTGGAAAGAGCATTGTCAGTTGAGTGATGAACCAGAAGGCAGACTGACAGACTGAAAGGGAGTTATAGGAGAGGGAACCTGGGCAAACATATATTAACTGCCTAGTATATGCAGAGCCCTATGCTAGGTGGTTCACTCATTGCAGTCGTGTCCGACTCTCTGTGACCCCATTTGGGGTTTTCTTGGCAAAGATGCTGGAGTGGTTTGCCATTTCCTCCCCCAGATCTTTTTACAAACGAGGAAGCTGAGGCAAACAGGGTTAAGTGACTTGCCCATGGTCACACAGTTAGTAAGTGTCTGAAGCTGGATTTGAACTCTGGCCTTCCTGACTCTAATCCACTGCGGCACCCGGCTGCCCCCCATGCTAGGAGCTGAGGACAAAAGACAAACCAAATTACTGCTTGCCTTCAAGGATTTCACATTCAACTGAGCAGGTCAGGTGGAGAGACGACATATAAACAGGCAGAGATAAACATGATCACTAAGGAGGGAGAAAGTCATAGCTCAATCATGCAGCTGGAAGGGACGCTCCTCCCATTACACAGATGAGGAAATTGAGGCCCAAACTGAGAAGGTAATTTACCTAAAACCACCTGGTGGCAACATCAGGATTCAAACCCAGATCTTCTGACTTCCTAGTTCTGATAGTTTCCATTCCTCTGCCAGGTGTTTTTGTCTGTATCCTGGTTCTCGTAGATGCCCGGACTTGTGGGCTGAAATCCAAGAACCCACAGCCAGACTAAGAAACCAAATGTAGTCCCTGGGTGGTTATCTTTTTTTTCCTGGCACATGGTTCCTAAAGGCTTTATTTAAAAAACCAAAAAACTATTACTATCATTATCAAGTGTCTCAGGTTTGTAATCGGTCCGTGGGGCCAGGGGATAAACACCTTAGAAACTTGACCTTTCCTGGGCCAACACTTAGAGCTGAGTCCCCTGGGCGTGAGTCTCATCTACTCTTGGCAAGGTCTGACTTCCTGGCTTAATGGGAGGGAAAACAACAGGCCGGGAGGGAGGGTGAAGAGGGAGAAGGTTTTGAGGGCTTCCTGGCCACTGAACAGATCCCACAAAGCCCTGGGTTGGGCTTTAAGTGTAAGGGAATCCGATTAAAGGGGAAGGAGGGGATCCGGTTTCCCTACAAACAGGCCTCTTGTTTCTGAAGGGAAAAAAGGGATGAGTCTGGTTGGCCAGGTAAGGCTTGGGGTTTCTGGGTCCTGAAAAGGTAGGAATCAGGTGTTGAGACAATTGTCCCCAGAGCTTCCTCATCCACCACCATTAAACTTTCCTTCTTAATAATAACTCAGATTTCTGAAAAGTTTTTATGGTTGACAAAGGACTGCGTTGGAGTGGAGAGGGTACTGCCTGGTCTTAGCTTCAGAAGACCTGTTGGGACACTCTAGATGTGGGACTGTAGGCAGTTCTTCGGTTCAAGTTGGCTTACATTGTGTGTAACACAAATTTTTAAAAAATAATAAAAACCACAAATCAAAAAAAAAAAAAGGAAAAAAAAAAGGAAACTCTCTCTGCCCTGCCCTCCAGGGATTTACTTCTCCTGGGGAGGGAGTGATGGACCAAGGCAAAATGAGGACGACAAAGAGCAAATAAGAAATGTCTTCATCTATAAAATGGGGACATTGATTACTCGATGAGGTAAATAGTGAGAGTATCACCCTCGACATCTTACAGAAAATAAAACAGACTCAGAGAGGAGAGATGATTTTCTCAGGGACAGGGACTTCTAAGTGGTGAACCAGTGAATTCTTCTGATTTGATTTCAGTGTGCTTTCCAATATAATTAGTTGCTAAGTAGTGCCTTCGACTAGAGATTCAAAAAAGTTCGATTGAGATTAGTTGGTTGATTGGGGAAGATATATTGGAGGACCTAGGAGGGGCGTGAGCTGGGCACTAAAGCATCCCTTAATTAAGGGTAAGGCTTTGGATTAGCAAGATGTTTGGGGTGGGGGTGAGTGTTCCAGGTACAGGAACAACCTAAATTCCTATGCTGTCCTGGAATTACAAAATAGCATATAGTAGGTTTTCAAGCACACTCACGACTTTCACCTTGACTGGGGCTTGGAAATCATACTGTTTCTTTATTTTGCTATGTAGAAGTGTGAAGGTTAAATCAAAGGCTAATAGAATGTCAGAGCTGGAAGCAATTTCTTTCTTTTTTTAAAATTAATTAATTTTTAGTTTTCAACATTCACTTTTATAAGATTTCAAATTCTAAATGTTTTCCTCTTCCCTCCCCTCACCCTCCCCACGATGACATGCAATCTGATATAAGCTATACACGTACAGTCATATTAAACCTATTGAAAGCAATTTCTTAGATCATGAGGCCCAGAGAAGGTAAGGGACTAGCCCAAATTCACACAGTAAATTAGCATCAGAGATAGAATTCTATTCCCAGGCAATGGACTCTTTCTGTTACACCCTCTTTCTTGGTATCGGCCCCCCTCCTTTTCTACCTTTTCTTAAAAATAAACAAAAAATTCATACCTTTCATCAAAGCCAGCTGGTCACTAAGGTTGTATTTATACAGCTCAGAGAAAACAGAGGGGTGAAATAATTTCTTGAATAATTTAAACAAATAAGCAGCTACCAAAATAATTTCTTTAAATGACCTATTTCGAAGAGAAGAGGCTGAATTCTACATTTATTCATTGTCCAGGTCAAGGTAATTCACTTTTCTGGGCCCCCAAAAGGGATACTAATCTTTGCACTAACCACTTCGCAAAATGATTGGGAGAAAGGCATTTTGCAAATGGGAGCTCTTTGTGCTACCCACCTCCTGAGAGAGAGAGAGGCGAAGACACAGAGTACAGAAGGAAAGAAGTATTTTTTTTTAAAGGCGAATACGGAAATTTGTTTTGATTGACTATACAGGTTTGTTATGTGTTTTGTTTGATCTGTGTTCTCAGTGCGGGGCTGGAGGGGGGAGTGAGAGTGAGAAGGAAGATTTTTTGCTGATTGAAAGAAATAAAATGTAATTAAAAAAAACCAAATGGAAGCTGTGATGATGATTCTAATGATGTTATTCATTCGTTTATTTATTCAGGAGTTGGTCAGTGTGCCTAGTCTTTGGGGGGCTGAGTAGGGGGCAGAAAATAAATTAACAGAAGAAGAAAAGAAAGAAAAAGGAAAGAAAGAAGGGCGTTTGACACTTTCCCGACGAAGTCCTCCTTACGAAAAGAACACTAAGTGCCTGGAGGAGAATCAGGTGTGACTTTCACAGCCCAGGCAGGTAAGGATCTAAACTTGATGCTGCCCTGGAGCAGGGTTAGACTTGCGGACTGAGCCTGGAGCCGGGGACTGACTGGTGGTCCTGGGACAGAGGCAGCAGCGCCGGGTCCTCAAGTTCCCAGGCCAGGGTGGGGCTGGGCCAGGGCCAGGGTCAGGGTCAGGGCCAGGGCCCAGGCGGGCAGGCATGCGTTGTGAGCTGGCCTTTTTTGATGGCTCAATCCCAGATTTCACAGCTCCTCAATAGCCCTCTTGTGGGGCTGCCTCTTGTCTTCCGCGCCGGCACAACTCAATCCATTCTCCCCTTTCTCTCCTAGAGACAGCCCCTCCCCTCCCTCCACCGGCCCAGGCCTTCTCGGGGCATCACTGGGCAGAGGGGAATGTGGGCGGAGCTCCTGGAAGTGGGGCTGCGGAGCGGGGGCTGGGGGCCCAGCCGGGGTTCCTATTCTCCCGGGGGCGGCGGGGTCAGCACAGGCCACCCCCCCTTTCCTCCCCCGGGCCCTACTCAATTGGAATTTAAATGCTCTGCCTTTGCGGCCCTGGAGAATGGGGATGCTCCGCATTGGCGAGGGAATTACCGGGGACGCCTGGGGTGGGGGTGGGGGTGGGAGGAAAGAGGAGCCCCTCCCCCACCGGACTCCAGGCTTCGTGCCCCCCCACCCCGCCTCCAAATATGCTAGATATACCAGGAAAGAAGCTTCAGGCAGGGAGGGGAAGAAGAGGGGCTCGGGACCCACCTGCCCCCAGACCCCAGCCTCTCTTTCAGCTTCGTTGACAGCTGGGGAAACTGAGGACAGGGAGGAATCTTAGTTTATACCATCACAGAGCTGGAAGGGAACTTAGCGGTCATTTAACCACACAGTGAGGCAGGTCCAGAGTTAAACCTGGAATCCAGGTTGTCTGCCACTATAGAAGAAGGCCGAGGGGGTGTTGATAACTTGTTCTGTCTGCTTCCTCTCCTCTCCCTTCCTTTCACACAAAGCCTATTCTGTGGACCGAGGATAGGGATGGTGGAAAGGAAGGGTACTAACTTTAGAGTCAAAAGACCCGAGTTCAAATCCCCCTTTCCTTTCTGTGAGCCTGTAGAAATTTCATTTCCCCTTTCTGGGCCTCAGTTTCTTTATCTGTAATACCTGCCCTGCTCAACTTACAGGGTAGTTGTGATGATCCAGTAACATTTTAGATAAGCATAAGACACTATAAAGGTAAGTTAATAGTGTTGCCTCCTGCGACACTTTGAAGAAACTATTCTGATCTCTTTCCCTCCAGTCCTATGGGCCATATTCTGTTCTTCCCGACCCAGCTGAATTCTCTCCAAATCCCCGAGGCTCCCCCCCGGCTCTCAGGAGGCTCTCCTTGGTATCTCCAGCCCACCCTGATCTCTCCTCAATGGCACTGAAAACATGCAGTCTTTACTTTCAGGATACCCACTCGTCTTAGCCTGTAACCTTTTCGTTTTCTGTTCTCTTGGGTGGGAATCTTTTCACCTTTCATCTTCTTCATCCTACTATGAACCCCTGGAAGACAAGTCTCTATCTCCTCCTCTGTTTCCTTCATGTGGTAGCTAAGCTTTGGGCACCTGGTAGAAATCAGGCAAGTGTTTTTACCTGAAGATGCAGCCTTAGAAAGGTTCCCCACCCCGATCTAGCTCTCCCCTCCCCCCCCCCAATTTTCAAGCAGACTGGACCACTTGTCAGGAATGCTCTATTGTGGGATTCTTTCCTAGCTGGACCAGATGGACTACCTAGCTTCAGAAGCAGTGTGGTGTAACCGAGAAAGCACTGGAATTGGAGTCAGAGGACCTGGGTTCATGCTCTACCACTTACTACCTGTGTGACCTTGGGAAAGTCACTTAACCTTTCTGTGCCTCAGTTTCCTCATCCATAAAACTAGATGACCTCTAAGGTTTCCATCTTAACTATATAATCTTAGATTATAGAGAAATAGTAGATGTTATTAGATGATAATAGATGAATAATCCCTTCTACCTCTTAGAGTCTATGAGTCTGTGAAGACTCAGATTTCCCCATTCTCTCCCAATCTGATTTTAGGACAGTATTCTTGTCCTAAATTAATGTAAATCTGTTTCTTGTACTTTGTCACTCCTCAGAACACCTTGGTACTAGTAGCAGCAGCAGCAGCAATAGTAGTTAGGTAGTAGTAGTAGCAGTAGGAGGAGGAGGAGGAGAAGGAGGAGGAGGAAGAACCTGCTTACTTATAATAGGCACAGTTTAGGCAGTATCTCTGTGGTCACTTTGTAACCTCCATAATATATATGACTGTTCCCTAAACTTCATTCTCTTTACATTGATTAAGATCCTACCATTTGCAGAATAGCTTTTATTCTTTCCTGCCCCTCCCTCTGTGTTCATGTTCTAACCCTTCCTTCCACCCCAGCTCTGTCTGTGAAACCCATCCCTTTTTGCATGGACCATCTCAGCTGCCATCTCCTCCAGGAAGCCTGCCCTGGTACCTCTTAGTCTGAATTGATCACTTCCTCCCCCAGGTCCCCATCACACCTTTACTGCTCACTTCTCTCTGTATCAATTTATGTAAATCTTTCCATGATTCTCCAAATTCTTCATGTTTATGCTTTCTAATGGCACCAATAATTAGAATCATGTACCACAACTTATTCAGCCATTCTCCCATCCAGGTGTGCCACTATTTTCCAAATAAGACATTGGAGCGAGCCCTTTAGCGTGTTGTGAGGCCAACATTGGACATTTCGTGCAAAAGACTGAATGGAAGTAATAAATGGCTGTAGAAGGCATAGGGGACCAGGAGACAGTATCACAGAATCTTCAAGCTAGAAGGAAGGTCCAAGGTGTCTCTGAACCCACACTTGAACAGGAATCCATTGTACAACAGGCCAAGCAAGTGATCAATGAAGAACTCAATTGATGGGGACCTCACTAGCTCCCTAAGCAACCCGTTGTGGCTTGGGATGCTTCTCTTTACTCTGCCTCTCCTCAGCTTCTACCCATTGCTTTTAAAGGTGACCTCTGGGGCAGAGCACAACAAATCGGATTCCTCTTCTCTTGGCAGCTCTTCAAATACCTGATGATGGTTATCTTTCCCATGTTAAACATCTCCAAGGCCTTCAACCAGTCTCTAGTGTCTCCTCTCTGAAGTCATAGAGACAGTTGCTAGATTGTCATGTATGAGGAACAGCAACTGGCTGCAATATAGAATGCATGGGGGTGGGAATGGGGGGAGAGAAGTACCTTGTAGAAAGGTAGGCTAGAACCAGATTGTGAGAGGCTTTTAAACTCCCAAAAGAGGATTAATTTATTTATCTTTCCCGGAGGTAATAGGGAGCCTTGGAACTTCCTTGAGCAGGGCATTACACGTTCTGACGTGTGCTTTAGGAACATTAATTTGGTAGCTGTAGATTGATTTGGAGGATGGATTAGAGAGAAGAAAGGTAGGGAGATGGATGAGGGGGTCATGCAACATTCCAGGGGAAAGGTTATTTAGGACCTCAACTGTGTGAGTGCAAAGGAGAGGAGAGATGTGAGTGGTACTGTGTGGGTAGAGTCAAGAGGCATCTGATTATATTGGGGATCAGGGTGAGGGAGAGTGAAGAGCTGAGGATACTCCAAGGCTGTAAACCCAGTGACTAGAAGGGCAGTGGTCTTCTCTGCGTTCGGAAGCTCGGGGAAGTTTTCTTGTACTGCTTCCTGCATCATAATGTTCAAGTTCGTGACTTGTAGTGCTCTTTTGGGAGACCTATAATCCTTAAATTATCTACACACCTCCTGCCATTTGGATGGCTCTCCTAGATCCCAAGGGCTGGGAAGAGCTGCTAGAGTGCCTTGTCTTCCATGCACAGCTGTCTGTCTTAGCCTAGGATCCTCAACCCTAACACCCACACTTCATCCCAGGACTTGTGAAGATCAAACGGGATGATGAATGGGAAAGCACTTTAAAAGTTGTGTTGTTCTGGGCAAGTGAGACAGATAACGGTCATTATTCACTCCACCAAATAACCGGAGTCATGAATTATGTTTCTCTTTCCACTTGTGTTCTTAAAGGGCATTTCAGTTTTTTTCTTGATAGAGGTCAATGATAAGTCGGGGCCTGAATGCAGGCTCGACTTTGGATTCTGGCTTATTGTAATTGTCTGTATTTGTAGCTTTTCTCAATAATGCTCTAGCATAGGGCTTTGTATACCATAATCAATCAATTAATAAATATTTATGAAGCACCTACTATGTGTTAGGCACTGTGCAGTAATTAATGTTTTATTGAATTAATGTGGCTAAGGCAGATCAGGGCAGAATACTGGTGGATAATAATGACATCTCCTACTTCTACAACATTTTGTGCTTTATTATTTTCCTCCCAATGAGATGAGGAAGTTCAAACCCAGAGAAGAAGACTTCCTGAAAGTCACATAGCTCATCAGTTTTGGAACTGGGCTTCCGCTGCAAATCGGCTAACTCTAAATCCCGCGCTCTTCCCTCTCTCTTTCTCTGCCTCTTAAAACTTGCGGGTGATTTCCATGGACTACAGAACCTCACAGCTAGCAGAGCCTGCAGAAGGCTTTAGTTCAATAATCAAGTCATTCTCCTTGAAGATAGATGTGAATTTGGGGCCACAAGGGAGCCTGCTCTGGGCCTGTCCTGTAATATACACAGAGGGGCTCTCTTCTTTGCCGCATCACTGGGCCTGCTATTTCAGGAGCCTTTGAGACTGGGACTGGGAGCTGAGCAGGGTTAATCACAGGTCTGTGGTACAGCTGTGCACATCTGTAATGGTCTCTGGCTGAATTACCCTGGAGTCAGAGGAAGTTCATATTGTGTTGGGCTGATTCCCATCAAGCTCCGTGGGGGAAGTGCTGGGGCCTGAAGAGAATGTCATCGGGGGTAGAGGGGATGGAGAGGAAGCTTGTGTTTCTATAGTGCTTTGGGGTTTATTAGTAATAAATGACAATAATAATAACATTTCTGTAACCATTTGGAGTTTATTAGTGTTAGCAAGAATATTTGCAATTTTAATTCATATAAGGCTTTATTAATCATAATAACTCCCATTTTCTTAGCATGTTAGAGTTCGTTATTGTTAATAATAACTCATATTTTTATTATGTTTTATAGCTGTCTAGTACTACTAACAACAATTCCCACAGCCCTTTACAGTTCACAAAACTCCTCTTCAATAGACTTGTGACTTTGCTTATTAGGGCAAATGTTATTACCCCCATTTTACAGCTAAGGAAACTGAGGTTCAGAGTGCGAGAATGAATGACTTACCTAAGGTCCCACAGTAAGTTGGTGATTCAACCAAGCCTTCTGACTCCTGACCCAGGATTCATTGTCCCCTATTTGAAGCTGCAGGCTCAAGCCAGGCCTTTCTTCACAATATGAAAATTTTCCGACTCTTCCTGGAGAAGATGTTAAAGATTATCCTTCTTCTGACACAGATTTCCAATTAGATTTCAAATTCCTGTCTCTCTCATATTATATATAATGTATTATTTTAAATTACATATTATATGTGTATACGTATACGTGTATATATGTGTCTACATATGTATGCGTGTATACATACACACATTTATACATATGTGTATTATATATGTATACATACACATAGTATATCAGAAACAACGGTCAGAAATGGAACCACTGATTCACAGAATATCAGAGTCAAATTAGAATTGAGAGAGGAGGATGAGTCTGATGCCACCCCCCCCATTTTATTTTTGTTTTTTTGTTTTCTTTTAAATAACAAGGTTTCAGAGGTAGGGTTGGAACCCAGGCCTGGCAGTATTCAAATCTGGCTCTGCCAGGGTTCTAAGCACTGCTGCCCTATCAATGGGCCCACTCAGCTTCCACTTGGCTAACCCCTTTTCCTTTTAGAGAGGAGGAAACATTCAGAGATGGGAAATGACTTGCCCAAAGTCACAAAGCAAGCAGATGTAAGTACTTTAATCCAGGTCTCTTGAGGCAAAGTCAGGGGTTCTCTCCTTTCCACATTACCTCTTAAAGAATAGGGATGACTTCTAGGAATAACAGAATTCTAGACTCCAGGCCAGGAAGGATCTTGAGGGCGTCTAAACCAGAGTGCCCTCTATTCCAGTATAGGATTCCCCTCTGTAGCCTACCTGGCAGAGTCATCTAAATACTACTCAGACGTTTCCAAAGCCAGAGAATTCCCTCCCTCCTAAGGAGGCACCTTCTGTGGTGGGATGGTTCCGTCTATTGGGAAGTTCTTCATATTGAGCCAAATTCTGCCTCCCAGACACTGCTCCTGACCATCCCATCTGGGACCAGGGAAGACATTCTTGGTGAGAGCCCTTCCATTAGCCTCTCTGGCTCCATCCTGTAGGGTTGGGGGACTAGTGAGTCTGACCAGGCCTGATGTTAGAAGTGGCCTGCTTGAGTGTTCTTCCCTGGCAAGGCCTTGCTGTTCCAGAGCAGGCTGCCTGGCTCTTCATTGTCTCCAGCCCAGAGCTGGCTGCTCAGACCCACAAATCTGCCAGAGGACGGATCTGGGTTCATATGATGGTGGTTAGGCCCCCTTGGTGGTAGAAGCTTGGGGTTTGTCATCACTTCCTACAGGCAGGGGGCTAGAAATCATGGAACAGCAGAGTTTGAAGGGACTTTAGAGACCATGTGGTCCAATGCTTTCCCTTCATAGATGGAGAAACTGAGGCCCAGAGAGGGGGAGGGATTTGCCCAATGTAGCACAAGAGCAAAGGCCAAAGCTGGGGTTTGAACCTAGGTTTTCTGATGCAAAATCTAGTGTTCTTTCCGCTATACTATGTTGACTTGTGCAAGGTTAGAGCTGTCAAGAGTCATGCCCAGGATCTGAGCTCAGGTCCTACTACTACTACTCTTTCCCTTATATAGTGAAACAGAGTTAGACAGGATCTTAGAAATCTGGCCAAATGGCTAAAACCTTGGACAGGTAGTCAAGAAAGCCTCCTGAGTTTTGGTCCTGGTTTTGCTACTGACTCAACTCATGACATTGGTTAAGTCATTTTCCTTCTCTAGGTCTCAGTTTGCCTATCTGTAAAATAGAGACAAGGGCAGCTAGTTAAGACAGTGGATAAAGCACTGGACCTGAAGTCAGGACCTCTGAGTTCAAATCCAGCCTCAGACACTTACTAGCTGTGTGACCCTGGGCAAGTCATTTAACCCTGTTTGCCTCAGTCTCAACATTTGTATAAATGAACTAGAGAAGGAAATGGCAAACTTCTCCAGGATCTTTGCTGCAAAAACCCCAAATGGGGTCACGAAGAGTCAGACCAAGTGAGCAAACTACAACGACAAAAAAATGAGGACAAAAATGCCTAACCTGCCAGTCGCAAAATTGTGTTAATGCTTTGAGAAAATGGTCTAGAGATTGCTTTGAGAACTAGAAGCCACTATGAAATGCAAAATATCATTCACTTCATTTTATGAATGAGGAACAGAGGGCACTTAAATGCCCTGCCCAAGGTCACACAAGCAGTCATTAACAGAAACAGAGCTACCATCCAGGACTCCTAACTCCCATTTCAGGGTTTTTTCCACTGTAGTCCATTCCTCCCTACCATCTCCCCTACCCCCAGGCAATCCACGACTATTTACATACTTATTTACTAAAGTCACCAAATCGAAGTGGAAAGGGAGTCTTTGTCTGCTCAGAAAATACATTACTCAAATAGAAAGCTAAGTTTTTTTGTTAGAAAGTCTGACTCACATGGCTTACTCCACATGTGGAGAGAGAAGTAGGGGGATGGAAGCAGGGTTCCAGATGTGAACATGGGAGATGGCACAGAATTGAGCGCTAAGTTGGGTGGTGTAGACCTCGGGCCCTCTAGGAGTGCCCAGAAAGGGGATGTCAGCTGGACTGGATGCTGCCAGACCTGGCAAAGGGGGAGGTGGGCCTCAAGCCAAGCCCCAGTGGACAAGGAGAATGGAGGGAACAGTGAAAGACAACGGGCTTGATTAGGGCTGAGGATTCCAGGTAAGAGTCTTATAGGGCAGGGATTCTTAAACTTTTTTCCACTAGTGACCCCTTTTCACCCAAAAAATGTTTACACCACCCCAGATATATAAAATAGGTATACAAATCAAACATTTACTGATAATAAATCGTAAAGAAATTAATTTTAAAACAATTCATATAAATATAATTTTACCATTTATTAAAGATGAAAGCAAATTTGTATACTAATGAGATGGATGTGCTTATTTTTTATTTTTACATAAAGAATTAAATCTTGGTGGAATATTTGATACTCCGGGAAGTAGAGCATCTTCAACATTTTTCAGAGTTGATCGATATTTTGATTTTATAATTGTCAATGCTGAGGACATCGCTTCACATAAATACGTAGTAGAAAATGGCAGGAGTATGTTTAGGGCCATTTCAGAAATTATTGGAAATGTTGTCCTAATCCTGAGCCAAAATTCATTTAATGATTTTGTAGGCACCGTAAAAACACTGCAATTCATAACATACAATAGTCTCGAATCTGAGCCGAAGTGTTTCTGGCCTTGTTCATTGGCGTTGAGTGATGTGAAGGCATGCGCAATGCAGAGTGAGCACGTTGTGTGTTCAGAACCAGGATGCAGTGAAGTAGCCCTAGCCAACAGGGCAGGTGCTATCAGAAACACCTCAGATTCGTTACTCATTTAACTTTGAATTAATTTCTGGTCATTGAGTGTTCAGAAACCTTTTATTGTTGCCAATTTTTTCAAGACTCCCATATTCAGTTACACAACCCCATATGGGGTCCTGACTCACAGTTTAAGAAGCAATGGGCCATAGAGCAGAAGAAAACACCCTAAAGTAGGAGACTGGTCTACTCTATGTAGAATGTAAGCTTCCTGAGGGCAGGGACTGTCTTTCTTTTTCTTGTATTTATATCCTTAGTGCTTAGCACAATACCTGGCCAATATTAAGTGCTGAATAAATGCTCATTCTCTGCTTGCTCACTGCTTAAGTAGCAGAACCCTTTAACCTCACTGAACCTCAGTTTTCTCCTTAAAATGGGGATAATAGCAACACTCATGGGATATATAACACTGTTATATCCTTCACTGTTGGGCTGTTGAGAGGAAAGCACTTAAAATGCCATAAGAACAGGAGCTGTTAGTGTTAATAATTGTTGGGGAAGGGCAGTGTGGTCCAGGTAGGAAAGGATTGGCCTTGGAGTCAGGAAGACCAGGCTTCAGAGCCTGCCTCTGACACATGGTACTATGTTACAGATAACTTTTTTCACTTCCCACTTCCCTAAGGCAATTCTCAAAGTCAATAACTTCTAAACAATTTTCAGCTTTGCATCACTGAAGGGAATTTCCGCATGAGAACTTTTCCCATAGAGATGAAAGCACCGGTCTGGACCCATTCTCCCTTCCAACTCCCTCTCCCCACCCTCTGCCTCCCCAAATTGTAAGAGATAAGGTTAGACCTGTGACCTCTGATTGGTAACCACTTCCCCCAAACTCCCCGACCCTGGGAACCTCAAATACCATTGAATTCACCCAATTGCTAATGTACTTGCCATGTAATATTGCGTATAATAATTAATTTGTGATGAGTTTATCTATCATCACCCAAACACACTGTGAACTCTTGAAGGGAACAAAGAATGGGTTTTTTTTCCACATTTTGTCTCTGCACATAGTAGATGCTTAATCAAAATCAACTGGATGGAATTGAATCGAATGGGTATGTACAGTGGCACCAGAGCTTAAAAGAGCCTTGAAAAGTCTTCCGGGGAGGTCTGTGCTTGGCCTTGAGGTGTTTTAGCATTTTTATAAATGACTTTTATAAAGGCTTACACAGAATGCCCTCTGAAATCTAAGAGTCTGAGATTTTGAGATGGTTCTACCAAATTGAATAACTTTCTGCTCTTGATTCCATTCTTGTCCTGCTCTCTCCCACCTCTGGGCCTTTGCATGGTCCCCTTACCTAGAATGGGTTCCCCTGCTGTCTGTCTGCCTGTTAACATGCTTATGTTCCTTTCAA